ACAGACGAGGGGCAGCCGACAGGCGGCTTGCCATTGGCTGCCTCAACTGCCCGTCTATCCGGTCCGTGTCGGCCGCCGCCTGCGCCCAAGTACAGTCTCCTCGCGCCCATGCTTGGGGCCAAAATCTACCCGCTTAACCTGGCCCCTTCATTCCAGGCCGAATTGATCCGGTGCTCAGCCGAGGCTGGCGGGCCACTGGCATGTGGGCGTGTGCGCCTGTACGCGTGTGTGTTTGCTCTGAGGGCATGATTGGCTGCATGAGGGCTCCGGTCTTCACGGGCCGACTGACGCGGCCTGCTTTGTTCACCACAACTTCCCGGTTCAGTGGCCTCTTCACTCAAGGCCGGCTCGAAGGCATCCATCAAAATATGATGACAAACTACAGTCTGGCCTAATCCACTTTCTTTGTCTTCGCCCACCGCATCCACTTTATCTGCGATCTGCCAGCCGGTTCGTCTTGCCAGCCCGCTTTGCGCGGTTCATTCACTCCACGTGGGTTGCATACACCGACTCTTTGTCCTCTTCTATTCACCGGCCTAATTGATAGACTCACACTCCAGGTTTATGCCATCTTGCCTAGCACACCATCACAACCGATGGTTACGATACCATGTGGTGTCAAGATGTCTTTTTATGTCCGGCTTCATAGGCTCTGTTGCCATGACCGATGCAGGTATTGCTGCATGGGACGACGCTTTTATACGGCTGAGGTCGGTTGAGCTTCAAGGCGGTCCGTGATACTTTCGTGAGGTGACCTTTCATTGTGACGGAAAAGTCGCATAAAGGGATTCATTGACAGGACAACGCGCCAGGGGTGATTTGCACCAAGACGCACCGTTGAGCGTCATTTGTAAACATTTAATCGATCACGAATACAAACATGACGAGAACTAACATGCCTATTACAGATTAAGTTTACTCCCTTAAAGTGGCCTTGGTACATTTTTCGTTTTATAAGCCGGTTTTCAGGACTACCACGAGTATCCACTAGGTTTCGTTTCATGACCAAGTTTTCCCACACTCGTATAGATTTGCTTTCACACAAGGTATTCCCATTCAGACTGGAGTGGACTGCACTTTCGCCCTCGGTCGCATTAGCAACCCATGAGGGACTCGAACGACGATAATACAGCTCATCCTCTCGAAATGCCAACCACTACCTTCAATTGCCAAGAATGTATGTGCCTTACAGGCCTGAAGTGAATTTCAATCACCGTCAGGCATGTTGGAGTACCTTTCATTTCGCTTGAAGAGGCGAGCACAAGTTGTATATACGAAGAAAAGTTGGGTTTCGAGGAGTCTCTTGTTTCATAATTGCTGAGCTTACTTCCCTTTCGAGTGGAAGTGTTGGGTGAAGAGATTCGAATCGAAGGAGATTGCCTCGGAAACAGCGTCAGCATGAATCTTGCAGTAAAGCCAATCGACAGCTGGTC